ATTTATTTATTTATTTATTTATTTATTTATTTATGCATGCTTGCTGTAAAGTGTAGTTAAATAAATCGTGATCACCTGCAACTGACTTTTAGTCGTTATGTACCCATCCAAAACAAAAAAATCTGTACGGAACCATCACAGTACAGATGTGTGTACTATTTCACCCTCAAGTACAAACTTTAAATGAAAAAAAAACTAATGTTTACAAGTTAAAAGCATTCAGTATATAGAAATAAATGTTGCGAAACGTCTCCACTGTTTAATAAGTTGTTGAATCAGGTGGTGGATTTAGTTCTCTTCTGGTAGCCTTGGTGTGATTCCTGAACGGACCGAGGTGGCAAGGCCAGGGTCCATGCAAGCCCACCAKCCGATGCACCTTTGTGCTGCGGAGCAAGGTGGTAACAGTCGACGTTMTAAAAGGTCAGCAGGTACCGTGGCTCAATAATGTGATGAAGGGATGGGATCTGGTGTGTGTGAGATMAAACTGATTTCTTATCAAGGAAGGATCTGATGACACACAACAACTTTGTATTTAGTTTTTAAAAAGTAGAGAGTCATTAAACTGAGATAATTTATCATGTTTTGAAAATGATCTGAGGCAGATTTAAAGCTCTACATCATCACAGCTGAGTTCTGCTCCACAGATCGCTTGCTTCATTTCTGACTCTTGTCTGTTCAGACGTGGATCTGTGATCGAATGAGGCAGTAAAATAAATAATGACAAATGGTCAAATGTTTCTGTTGTTCATCTGAAGTTTTTATCTAATTTTAGGGTCTGATAAACCCCAAGTTAATCAGGCKTTGAGCACTGTGAAACAGCAGAAGACCTTATTGTTTTTGGAAAGATCATTATTCTTATTTTTCTGCCAGTGGAAGTTTTTTTATCATAAGCCAAGCTTTATGAAACACAGTTACTTTGAAGTAGCATAAATATGAGGAGGCACAAACATCCAGATGTGGGCGTGGTAAATGGCTTGTTGCAGCCTCTGTGACTAACATCCACCGTAACGCCCGCGTTCCGTTTGACACATTTGTTCTTTTTACTGTATTTTTGGCCTGGATGTTAAGGGGTTAATGTACCCATTCAAAATTTGGTAGACAGGTTCACTAGTTCAAGCCCTCCAAAACAGTCTCTTGGCCCCATATRGTAAAACCTACAGGAAGTCGAGCATTTTAAATGAAATGTCAATTTATGCTGATTTTCAACTTCAAAATTTGGTCCAAAGCTTTTTGACCAGATGGTGCACAAATGTTTGTCAACAAATGTTTAACCCCTTAACAGTTATCCCCAAAACACTTACGTTAGTCAATGGGTCCATGATGACAGTTGAGGGGTTTTAAACTCTAGTTTTCTGTATTTTTTACAGCACATTTTCTCTACTTTCTCCCATTTATTTATATTTCAAAGTGTATATTGTGGTTAGTAGGGGGTGAAAAATTATATTTGCGTTTTTTAATGTATCTGAAAAAAACTGTTTTTGATTGAAAGTATTTGATTTTCAACTTTAAAGTGTAACTAGCCCCCAAATCAAGTTTTTTTGCTGATAAACTGTCTATATGGGTTATTTAGGATTCTAGCTTTATGTTTCTGTGCGAGTTATGACATATTTGTGTAAAATTGTTTAGTTCTGCATTATTTTACCTAAAAACTTCTCCGTCTGATCTCCTTAGGGCAAACGGTGCCTAAACTTTTAAAAACCTGAACGATGTTTCTTAGAATCAACCCACTTTGGCATCAAACGTGACGTAGGGGTTAACGTCACTGTAAACTGTCCAAACATGGCAATAATATACAGTATGTGARAGGTAGACATGGGTGGCACAGTGGCTCAGTTGGTAGATCTGTTGCCTCTCAGCAAGAAGGTCGCCGGTTCAAAGGGTAGAGTTTGTATATTCTCTCCGTGCATGCGTGGGTTCTCTCCGGGTACTCCAGCTTCCTCCCACAGACCAAAAACATGACTGTTAGGTTAAATGATAACGCTAAATTGTCCCTAGCTGTGAGTGAGAGAGTGAATGGTTGTCTGTCTCGTTTGTCTCTATGTGTGTCCCTGTGATGGGCTTGCCCTTTGTCTCTATGTGTGTCCCTGTGATGGGCTTGCCCTCGCACTGTGGCTGCTGGATATGGGCACCAGTGACCCCCATGACCCTGAAAGGAATAAGCGGGTATAGAGGATGGATGGATAGGTAGATATCCAAAACCTTCAGTTTCAAAGTTGCTGTGAAAAYTTTAGGCCTTTTGAGAAACCAAGAACATATTCATGGCTAACAGCAGCCAAAGGGCATGGCCAGGTAACTGCCTACTTTATAAAGTTCTGGTAGGCTGAGTTTCACAAAACTTCAGAGYTAGGCTGGCGACAGCTAGCTGTAAGTACAGTTCAAATTGCCCCAGTGCACAAGAGCCGTTTCTCACTGCTTACAGTTTTAATTATAATTGCCTTCCTATGAAAGGCCTTACAGRTGAATGAAGCTTTTCATGCAAAAGGTATATTTTCATTCCTCTACCTGACTGATGGCAGTGTACGCTCGTCCATCTCCGACCACGATGTAGGCGTGAAGATCGATGTTGTTCAGCCGGACTGCAGTCAGTCCTACAGTCACCGTACCGCTCACCTTCCCGCTAACTCTTTGAGGAGCACCTGTAGGAGCAGAGCAGGAGAACAAAACCATCGTCAGCAATGTCACGGAGAAAATCTTTGTTTTGTTCTTTTCTACTAGCATCGAGCTCTGACCGTCGGGTAGACACTGGCGGCCATTCCCATAGAAGCCCGGYTGGCAGTGACAGCAAAATCCAGTGGCGTAGTCGGAACAAAAAGCATTCTGGGAACACTGCTGCTGGAATCTAGATGATTGGAGAGAAGATACAATTTATAACTGCTGGTAAAATGGAAGGAGATTCAGTTTTGTAACTTTTGCAAATCTTCTTAAGCCAACAGTGTATAAAGCAGGATTACATCACACCTACCCGGCACATGTTTCCTTGTTTTCTGTAGTGTACTGAATCACTAAAATACAAAACAAACAAACAAACAAACAAACAAGATTATTGCGTATTTATATGACTTATTTACATGTTGCACAATGACGGAACATTCCTGCTACATTTGTAAACATCTAAAACAAAGTTTTCCTCCGTTCAGATCCTTTGAAACAGAAAGTGAAGRAAAAACGTTAAAACTGAGCGGTCAGCATGTAAAGCTTAAGGCAATATCTCAATAGAAACTGTTGGAGCCTCAGGATTGGGAGAAAACAAGRATGATTTTCATTGGCTGTCRCACTTAATTCTGAGTGTTTGTAACTGGACTGACAGGTTTTGAGAGGTATTTTAATGTATGTGYCTTGCAAAACGGCATGCTAAGCCTTTAAATTTTCATTGACCCACCTTCAAATTTAGGATTTAATTTAATGGAGTAGTATTTACAAATGAGTCTATACTTAATAGTCATCATTGGCATGGTATTAAAACCTTAGTCTGAGATGTTTTCTGTCATAGAAGAGCTCATGTGGTGTTAAAAATACAGGTCTAGGATTACAGAAACTAAACTGAGAGGGGTTTGAGACAACTGCCACAAAGCTACAGCAATTTGGACAGAAAATCTGTTCAAAAGTTTTCAACTTGTTCAAATATCAAGCAACACGACTGCGAGAATCTTTGATTCACACAAAGAAACTGAGAACCCCGGGAAATATTTGGAGACATTTTGGAAACTCCCTCACAAACTCCATGCAAAGATTGTTCTCCAACAGACGGATTTTTGTGTCTCGCAGTCCTGGGAATGTTGAGGAACCAAACTTCTGAAATCACCCAACTTTGTCAAGAATTAGCAATTTGTATATTTTCACATCTTGTTTCATTCTAACAGGGTACAGTTACAAACYTGAATGCACAAACATAAATTACATAATAAAAGCTTATGGCTGTCGTTTGGCACGTTGATACCAACAACCGTCAGAGCTCATTGTCAAGCTATGCATCAAAGTGAGGGCGACCATATGTAGTTGGTACTGCTTAACCTCACCCAAGAGCCCAAGGTCCCAAAAGCCAGCTTTGGTTAGCCAGGGTCAAAGCACCAAGGTCCCTGCCTTTGGCTACRGCCCATTGCCCCATCTACCAGACAGAAAACTCTTAATTCAGGTTGAACCTGACTGGACCCTATGGATAGAGGCCCAGTCACCAGGCGCTCACCAAGAAGCCCCCCTGGCAGGCTGGGCTCCAGGGTGTGGTCCCGGTAATCTACGTCCAGTCGAGGGACATCAAACTCCTTGGTTTCTTCTGTCCATTACGATACAATAATGTGGTTGTATAATATGGATAAAAATGCTCATATTAGATGATTCGAGACTGGTTTGGCTGTTGATGCCTGTTATTATCATTCTTTCCCCACATTTTCCAGCTACGATGAGCATTAGGGACAGACTATGATATAATTTTCTAATTATGAGGAAAAAAAGTCAAAATTACAGGAATAAAGTTGAAATATTACGAGAATAATGTTGCAACATTATGAGAACTCAAAGCAGTCTTTTCACTGTGTTAAAATGAGGAAAGTTGAGCATCTTGTAAAGTTATACCTTGATGTCTGCTTTACAAATAAAGAAATATTTTATCTTTTAACATCAGCATCAAATTATTATTAGTAGTTGGACTTTGAAACGARTGTGCAAACGACTGTGTCTACTTCAAAGAAAGAATCAGATGGAAGAAATTACTTCTTTTGTGGGAGAGGAGCTGTCTGGTAGTGGTCAAAGTGGTTCTGTTATTTTTCAGAAAACAGTGCGGATGGTCATCAAAGATTTTAAATCCAGAACTCTGGTGAGCATGGTGTCTCCAAGAGGCCTAACYCACTATGGCAAATGATTCATTTCATAAACTGAAACCCTATAGCATAGCAATTAAAGACTGCATTGATGGATTTAGTCGTCATGTAATAGTAATGTGGATGGAAGCATATTACACTAAAGCTATGTTTACATGTGCAAAATTCTTTGGTCGGATTGAAATGTATTCGGATTAAATAATCGGAATGTACAGTATTGTTTACATGCTCAGAATCCGATCATGATGAGTGTTTACATGAACCAGGCTTTTATTCTGAATAGAAGCACTGACATGCGCAGTTAACTTTCCCTTAAAAAACACAAAAAAGTTCTACTTTCATCATGAACATAAACAAACAGCTCCTGAGCTCAGACAGGTTAATGAACGGATGGGTAGATTTGACAGGTTTTAATAATGGTGGAGACGTTACTGCACTCTCTGGTTCAGCTGCAGGTGATGTTGCTTTATTTATTCTTTTTTTTTTCTTTTTTTTTTTTTTGCAAAGCAGCACATGCTGTGTGTCTTCCTTCTTTATTGAATGAGAAAATGTGAGGAAAAGTTCTGTGTTGCTGAAAACTACAGCACTACTGTCCTTCCCTCCACAAAAAATCAGAAAGCGCTGGATGAAAGTCAGCAGACATGCGCAGTCAGGTCAGGTTTCCACAATCAGAATAAGATGATCYGATTAAGTGTTTAAATGCACGCTGTTCGGATTATCAATCGGCATAAACCACCTCCTCATTCAGATTACAAATTCATTCGCATCGACCTGGATCGGGTCAGAATAATCCAAATGGGGTGTTTGCATGACGCATTTTTGTTCTGAATGGCCGTTTAATCCAATTAATTATGTCCATGTAAACGTAGCTAGTGACATGCATTGGAGGCTGTCCACAGCGGGTGCGAGCTGGTTGTAAAATGGACATGTTACATTAGATTATGACTTTTTCTTGTAATATTATGAATTTATCTTCCTAATTTTAAAAAAAATCTCATCTTGCCCTAATGCTTCGTCACATCCAACTAACCAATATCAATATAACAAAAGAATGATGCATTAAAACATCTGATTCTTCATGCAGCAAACATTTGAAATCTGCTAAATTAAACGGAGCTGTTGACAGAGCTCTGTAAAAAGTACTTATTCATTACTGAGCACAGACTTTTAACATTATGTAACCGAGCAAGACGAATGACAACACAGTCTTATTTATGGCTGAAGCCCGTGGGAGCAGAAGCATGGGAGGGAATGCAGAACATGCACGCACGCACGCACGCACACACACACACACACACACACACACACACACACACACACACACACTCCTACACCTGGGAGCTGCCCAGCACAACGACAGCATTGTGCGTCCAGCTGCTTCCAGCTCTGCTGCAGAGAGGAGAGGTAGTATTACCCTCTGAGCACCACRCATTCAGACGTACTTATACCCAGAACTGTTCTGTTGGTCATCTGTTTAACAGAACATCACATAAAAGCAGAATAAAACAGTGTTAAAAATGGTAAACAAGTCTATAAATGCAGCTCAATGCAAAGCTATTCGGAAAACAGACATCAAGTTATATGGCTTTCTTTTAATTTTATTTATTTTTTAAAATGGGGAACACATGATCCAAACTGTTGATGAGCTTTGTCCATTTTCTCATCAGGCATTAGGTCRAGGAAAACATTCTATACAGGAGGTGTCCAATCCTGGTCCTGGATGTTTTAGAGATGTTTCTGCTCCCACACACCTGATTTAAATGAATGGATGATTAACAGGATTCAAATGAACACAAGGCAGTGATTCAAAGACCAAATGAGGTGTGTTGGAGCAGAGAAATAAGTGAAACCTGCAAGATGGTGACCCTCAAGGACCAGGATCGCACACCCCCAGGCTAAAACATGCAGGATAATGGACCACGTGGACCAGGATTGGACACCCCCAGTCTAAAACATGCAGGATAATGGACCACGTGGACCAGGATTGGACACTCCTGGTCTAAAACATGCAGGATAATGGACCACGTGGACCAGGATTGGACACCCCCAGTCTAAAACATGCAGGATAATGGACCACATGGACCAGGTTTGGACACTCCTGGTCTAAAACATGCAGGATAATGGACCACGTGGACCAGGATTGGGCACACCTGGTCTAAAACATGCAGGATAATGGACCACGTGGACCAGGATTGGACACCCCCAGTCTAAAACATGCAGGATAATGGACCACAT